AGAAGAGATAATTTAAGAATTACTGGTCTGCCTGAAAGCCATGATCAAAAAAAGATCCCAGGCAGCATCTTTCAATAAATTATCAAGGAAAACTGCCCTGAGGTCCTAGAACCAGAGGATAATTAGTCATTGAAAGGATTCACCGATTACCTCCAGAAAGATGAATGAAAACACCAAGGAATATTGTAGCGAAATTTCAGAATTATCAGTCAACGAGAAAATACCGCAAGCCAGAAAGAAACAGTTTAAATGTCATGGAACCACAGTCTGTATTAGCAGGACCTAGCAGTTTCTACTTTAAAGGATCAGAGGGCTTGGAATATGATATTCCGGAAGGCAGAGGAGTTTGGATTACAACCAAGGATCAACTACTCAGCAAAATTGAGCATCATCTTTCAAGGGAGGAGATGGACATTTAATGAAATAACCTTCCTGATAAAAAGACCACAGCTCAACAGAAAATTCAGTCTTCAAATACAAGACTCAAGAGAGGCATAAAAAGGTAAACAGGAAAGCGGGGGTGTGGGGGAAGCATGTTATTCAACAAGGGTAAAGTGTTTACAACCCTACATGGTAAGATGATACTTGTAACTCATGAGAACTGTATCTTTATTACATTTAGAAGGGGTATACAAAGACAAAGGGTGTGGGTTTAAGTTGACTTTGATGATAACAATATTAAGGGGTGAAAAAAAGGATTGTACTAGGAGAAGAAGAAAAGAGGAGACAGAAAAGGGTAAATAGATAATTATTGTGGTGACACAAATTCTAAAGAGGACAACATTGTCAATATACCTACTTCTGAAACCTCAAAGGGAAATATGAATTGGTCTCAAGTCCCAAAAACCTTCTTGGAAGAGCTCAGGAAGAGGCACAAAGACCTATTACAGTAGAGGGAAAGAAGGGAGGGGATGCAAGTTTTGTTTGAACCTTACTCTCATCGGATTTCCCTCAAAGAGGGAAAAACATACACACTCACTTGGGTATAGAAATGTATCTTACCCTATAGGAAGTAGGAGAGTAAAGGGGAAGAAAAGGGAGGGCAGATTGAGGGAGGTGGTGATTGAAAGTAAAACTCTAGGGGCATCTAGGTGGCACAGTGGATAGAGCACTGGCCCTGAAGTCAGGAGGGCCTGAGTTCAAATCTAGCCTCAGACCAAACACTTGATTCTAGCTGTGTGACCCTGGGCAAGTCACTTAACCCCAATTGCCTTGGGGGAAAAAAAAAGAAAGAAAAACTCTAGTGAGGAGGGAAAGGGAGAAAGAAGAGAAAAAGGCATAAATGGGGCAAAATAGGATGGAGAGAGACACAGTAATCATAACTGTGAATGTGAATGAGATAAGCTGTCCCATAACCATAATCCTACAATATGTTGTTTACAAGAAACACATTTGAAGTAGAGAGATACACACAGTAAAAGTAAAAGGCTGGAGCAAAATATATTATGAAGTAAAAAAACAGGGGTATCAATCCTGATCTCAGACAAAGCAAAAATAGATCTAGTTAAAAGAGGTAAGAAAGAAAACTACATCCTGCTAAAAGGTACCAGAGACAATGAAGTAATATCAGTACTAAACATATGCACCAAGTGGTACAGCGTCCAGATTCTTGGAGAAGTTAAATGAGTTACAGCAGGAAATAGTAAAACTATACTAGTGGGGGACCTCAAACTCCCCGTCTGAGTGAAGTGAGCAGAACATTGTACACAGTAACAGCAACATTGTGTGATGACTACTTTTGATAGACTTGACTCTTCTCAGCATTGTGAGAATTAAAGACACTTCCAGAAGACTCATCATGGAAGATGCTATCCACATCCAAGGAAAGAGCTATGGAGTCTGAATGCAAATCAAAGCGCACTCTTTTGGGGGTTTTTTTCCCTTCTTTCTTGTGATTTTTCTCTTTGGCTATAATTCTTCACAGTATGACTAATGTGTAAACATGTTTAATGTGATTGTATGTGTAGAGCCTGTATCAAATTTCAAGCCATTGTGGGGAGGGGTAGCGCAAGAGGGGGAGAAGATTTAGAGCTCAACATTTTATAGAAGTGAATGTTGAAAACTAAGAACAAATACAATTTTTTTAAAAAGGCCACTTTCATCAACATCATCCTGCATTGTTCTCGTTGTTTGAGACCAGCCAGAAGGCTGGTGTTTTCCATTGCATTGTTTGAGGTAGTCATATCAATTAATAAACCTTTTTTTAAACACTAGCTGGGTGGTACAGTAGATAGAACACCAGGCCTGAAATCATGAATACACATCTTCATGAATTCAAATCTGGCCTCAGACATTTAGTAGCTGCGTAACCCTGGGCAGGTTACTTAACCTCATTTGTCTTAGTTCCTCATCTTTTAAAAGAAAATGATCTGGAGAAGGATATGGCAAACTACTCTAGTATCTTTGCCATGAAAACCCTAAATGGGGTCATGAAGAATGGGACATTACGGAAAGAACTGAATAGTCGAAGTGCTTATTCTGTGCCAAGTGTTGTGTTAAGCTCAAAGTACAAGTAGGAATAAAGACAGCCCCCTGCCCTCAAGGCACTTAAATCCTAATGGAGGAAGACTACACATAAGGGGGAAAGGCAGGCAGGAAGGATGGAGGAAGAAGTAGCCAGCTACCCAGTGGGAGGGAAGGAGCCATTGTAGAGAAGGTCCTGGGGACAGCTTGGGGAGAACGAGACAAAGCTGATCTGGGGGTCCTCCTGAAATAGAGATTTTTGGGAGGACCTTTCCAATGAGTGAGAGAGAGAGAGGTAGGGGAGAGAAAGAGAGAGTAAGAAAGAGAAAGTTCTTCCAGTGTGTGAAATTCCAGGGCTGAAGTGAGGCTTCGGGATGAGAACATGGGCATGGTAGAAGAGATCCATAATCTGTGTGGAAGAGGAATGATGTTTTAGTAGTTTGCTCAGCCTTCAAGAGTTATATTGAGGTCTGCACGTAGCACAGTGCCTAACACATAGTAGGTGTACTTCATAAATGCTTGTTCCTTTCCCTAGTGGTAATTAATCCTGCCAGGTGAATTTTTTTGTTTTTAGCTAATAGTTATACAGTTATCCCTTCCACATTTTGACTTTCCTCATCACTTAAATGGGAATTTTGGGGGAGTTTTGTGGAAGCCACAGACAATGCAGAAAAAGTTCTTTTTAAACATACAGTATTTTTACTTAATGTTGACCTACAAAAAGCCTATGACCTGTTGGTACAATATTGTATAATGTAGTGCAGTTAAAAAGATGATTGAACATGAAACTGCAAATCTACTGTGCACAACTTGCTGTTCCTTTCAAATAAACAACAAAATTATTATTAAAAGTTCTTTTTTCCCCTTCCCCCTCTCCCCGCACCCTGGAATTGTGAACTGATCCAACCACTTTAGAAAGCAATCTGGAATTAGGTCCAAAGAGTTACTCAACTGCCTATATCCTTGGACCCAGTAACCCACTATTAGGTCTATTTCCAAAGATCATTAGGGAAAAAGGAAAAGTTCTAAATGTTCTAAAATATGTTCCAAAATGTTTATATAGCTCTCTTTGTGGTGGCAAAGAACTGGAAATTGTGGGGATGCCCATCAGTTGGGGAATGGCTGAACAAGTTATGGTATATGATTGTAATGAATTACTACTGTGCTGTAAGAAATGGTGAGCTCAATGATCTTAGAAAAACATGGATACCTTTTGTCTTTCCTGTGGTATTGAACTCAAACAGAAACAGGGGCCACTAAACCATACATAAGGATCCTTGCAGACTGCGTATTGACTTACTTTTAACATGTTACCTATGTTTGTGTTACATTTTCCTGTGTTTTATTGTATTTTTATTTATTTTGTTAAATGTTTCCCAATTATGTTTTCATCTGGTTCTGGCCTTGGTGTGTTAGACACCTTTGCTTTACATCTCTCACCCTCTCACCCTCTCACCCTCTCACTCTCTCTCTCTCTCTCTCTCTCTCTCTCTCTCTCTCACACACACACACACACACACACACACACACACACACACACCCCTGAGATTGGAAGCCCCTTATAGGGCACACCATGAGTCTGGTGCCTGGTCCTTTGCAGCCCATGATGAGACCTGGCACAGAGCTGGTTTGAGGGGGAGAAACAGGATAAAGTGGATTCATGAGACCACTTGGGAAAGTCAAGAATGGACAACAGGTTTTTAGAAATTTTTTTTTAGATGTGAAGAGAAAGAACAAAGTAGAGAGAATTGAGTACATACGGATTCAGAGTGGTGGAACCAGAGCCTCTTAGAATTGCTGTTGGAGGCCAAGGAGACCTATGGAGAGGAAACTTTGGAAATGCTAATGGAGGAATTATTTGAACAATATCCTGTGCAGGGCCCAAGAACAAGAACTAGACAGAGGATGCATTTTGTGTGTTGTTGTTGTTGTTTGTTTGTTTTTTAGGTCAGAATCTTTTGGCCAGTTGTTGAGAAAAGTGGCTAGTTGGGGAATTGGGAAGGAAGGCGGGGAAGAGTAAAATCAGAAACCCCAGAAAGATAAACTAGGGTTTTACACAGAAAGGGGCCTTGTTTTGGGGGGCATTTTTCCTCCCAGTAACTTAAGGGGATTAACAGTGGTCATACTTGACTAGTGTAAAGAACTATAATTTTATCAGGACCTTCATAAAAGGCAAATGAAAATAAGGAATTCATGAAAATGCTATTGGATACCTACCTTTCCCTCGAGGCTAAAGCTGTGTTCAAACTAAGCTGCCTAAGACTGAACTTATGATCTTTAACTGTGATCGTAATCTCAAATTCCATTATATCTTAACAAAGCCTAATTGAAAATTTTGAATCACCTTTGTGGAATTGCTGGCGAAATAAGAGTATGGAAAAGTTAGGACCTGGAGATGTAGTTTTTGTGAGAAAATCTACCCTTCTTAAGTGATGGTGAAAAGGTAACCCTCCTTTGATAGCATGTGTTCTTTCATAGATACTGCTAATTTACATTTTACATCTTCATATAAAAATCAAAATACATCTTTTTTTTAGGTCTTTAAACAACCAGTACTGCAGGAAGGTGATAGGTGGGATGGTATGGAACCCAACCAAGAGGAGATCTTTATCAGTAGAGCATTTAGAAACCAAAAGTCTTCCTTCTCGATCTCCTCCAATTACTCCCAACTGGTAAGTCATTTCTCTCACCTCACCATTTATAAGTGAACATTCATCAGTTTTCACAATGCAAATTCATATAAAGAAGAGAACTGAACGGTAACGCACTTAGCAATCAGATTTTTTTTCTTTTCAGTTAACACATAAATTGGTTGTGTCTTAAATATTTAAAATAACTAGCTGCATAATAGTGTAAAATATACATCTGTTCAGCGTTGGCCATAGATTTAGGGATATATCCAAATATTCCTAGAATGACAAGGTTGGAGCTATCCTTTAGAGCCCAGGAAAAGTGTTTTTGAGCTTTTGTAGATAATTTTATATAGACCTCAATCCTAAATATTGCTGAACAGAAGGGTGGGGCACTATGAAAAGGGGAAATGAAATGAAAAATATCCTGTTGTAAAAAAAAAAAAGTCACCCATGATCCATCTATACCTGAAATAAATAGACTGCAATACCTTTGTCCCTTCTCATGTTGTGTACTTCTCATCCACGTTTTCCCATAAATCATCAGTAGAAGAGCTCTCTAATTACTAGAGGCCTTCCTCTTCTGTTTTTGTTTTCCCTACCACACAGGGTTGTTGTGAGAAAACCTTAAAGCGCTAAATAACTGTGAGTAATAATACCCTAAGGGTACCAGTGTGTCACTCAGGCCATTCATTGTTCTTGCTATATGACCAGCCCACCTCCTTTTCCCATCATTCATATCTTTTCCTTTACTTCTTGCACGCAAGTCACCATGGGTAACATGCTACAAGCCTGCTTATACCAACCAAAACCTTTCCATCACCCTTCAGTTTGTTCATAATTTTAGCTTTTCTGAGTTGATTGCATTCCATAATTCAAAGTTTCGGAGGAACTAAAATAAACGATTAAAACAACAGCCAAACACAACCCAGAGAAAGGTGACCAAAATAATCAAGAAGATACATAATAGTGGTTAGGTAGGGGTGGGAGGGTTGAGGGGGTGGGTGGAAATTCAGGGAGAGGGGAGCATAAAGTTTGTTATAAAGCTAAACTAAAAAGGATTGTTTCAGCTGAGAAATAATCTTAATAATCCTCCCTTGGAGGAGTTGTGATTGACAGTCTAGGAAGCCGTGAAGTGATGGAATAAAGCAGACTTGTTCACCAAAGCCAGATATCTAATAACTAGTTGGAAGTTTACACCTTGAAGCTTAGAAGAGGTAAAATTAGTAAGTACAGTAATAATTCTCATCTAGAGGTCATGTACAGGGCAAATCATCTATTCAGAACGGAGTCAAGAATTTTAAAAGGACTCTAAGCAACCAAAATAGGTTTCTCAAAGGCTATATGGTATAGCCTATGCACTCCACTCATAGGAATATGCTAATGAGTAACCTCAACAAAGTTTTTTTTTAAATGGCTTCATCAGTGTAGGGTACTCCTAGTATGGACCCTCTCTCCACCACTGCAGATAGACGGTATGACTTCTTTTCTTTGAAAGTTGCCTTGTGGCACTAAAAGATTAAATAACTTGTCTTTGCTCTCATAGCTGCTGTATGTGAGAGAGAAGGCTTGGGCCATGCCTTCTAGACTCTGGCCACCATAAGTGTGCAGATATTTTTCCAGAAAGTGTAATTCTGGTGGCTTATTCTGGCTTGGAGGTGATATATGGGGATCAAGGCTATGTTAGCAGACCACAGAGTTCTAGCTGATTTACCATGCCAGAAAGGCTTTCAAGTATGGCCCTGCAAACAGACTGATTCTGCCTTTCTAAAGACCAGATTAAGTAAATACAGAGGCCAATAGGCTGACCATTTGGTAATGAATTATTTGGCCGTGGCAGTCCATGAAGAAAAGAAAAATACAAAATGGGCTTAGTCCTGTACATGTACCTCCCCCTTCTGTGGTCATGGCAGCAGGGGGGCAGAGAAGGGAGCAGAGGGTGCAGAGAATCACAATTTTTAGACCATCTCTAAATTTAGCCACTTGTCCTCTAGATAGTAGATCTTTGTCCAGTGGCCCGTAAGTGGACATTTTACTGGAGGAACTTAATGAGTGTTAATCCTGACCTTCTTGTTATAAACCAAACCAGAAGAAAGAAGGAAGTTGCAGCTGTACAGAAGGATGGCCTACAGGTTCTCTTTGAAGAGCCAATGGAATTGTCAGAGTAGTGTTTTAATTATCCACCTAAAGTGAATAGGAATTATTGTTTCACGGGATGTTTAGTTAGCTCATTTTGCAGTACTCTGAATTGTTTCCAAAAGGATCACCATGGAAATAATAGCAGATTATAGGCCAGCATCTACTACAGAGGATGGAGAGAGAGAGGGAAGGTGAATGGAGAAATTAGTAAGACCCTCCAAGTTACATCAACTTTTCTTTGATGCTCATTGATTTTAAGGGAAAATGGAAATAAGATGGCAAGAAATCTTGGAAAATGCATCAGGAGAAAGGAATGAGAGAGGCTAAAGATTGAGCCTGTACAGAAGTCTCACACTTTGTATATCATGAATACTCTCTGTGAGAAAAGACTAGGTGGGCATGGGATATGACAAGCACTGAATAACATCACAAAAATGAAATTGATTATATTTTAACAGACAGGAAATGACTGTTACTGATGTGATAGTCATTACTGAATAAGCTGTCTGTTTATAGTCAAGCTATCATCTTATTAGAGCAAAGATCAAAATTAGTACAGAGCTTAAAGAAAGAATAAAAATGAGAAAAAGATAACAGCATTTTGGTAACATTATTCCATCCTGACCTATTTAAACAAGTTACTGATGGTGAAAAATAGGATGTGGGTGGAAGAAAGAACATACAGTCTACAATAATTTCATAAAAAAATTTAACTGATATAAATCAGTTGCCGTAACAAAGACCAAAAGATACCTCAGAATGCCTTAATCAGTAAATGTTTGACATTATATTCCAGAGAGAGTTGGTAACCAAGTCTAACACTGGTTTAGATTATAAACTTGTTTATAAGATTTTCTGGAGAAGGATGATGGAAGACTGTGAATGGTATTGCCTTATAAAACAGAGAAAAGTAGTAAAATGTAGAACAAGAGACCCAACTAAGCAAAATCATCCCAAGGCTATCAGTAAGAAGAAATCTAGGAAAGATCCGCAAAGATTTTAATAACTAACTTTTTTTTTTAACAACCTTAAAAATAATAGAGCCACCATATTTCACCTCTACCATATCAATCCCAGGTGGGCTAACAGAGGAGATATGAATGGCATTTCGGAGACAAAAGATGGAAAAGCATCTAGGTTATACCAAGTGTATATAGAGGAGATCCATGCTGGAAGCGAAAAAATTTTGAGGTTCTAAGGAGGGGAAAATCCTAAAGGCATAGAAAAAAAATCTTGGGCTTTATTTTTTCCTGGAGATTTTATTGGAATTTTTTTCTTTGTGGTATACATATAGAAAATTATTAAATACTTATCCTTGTATGAGTGTAATAGTCCTTTTAATCCTGAACAGTATGAGGCTAAGCGGACCCCTGTTTGAGTTGGGGTCCCTTATAGCAACAGATAGAATTTCACAAGCTGACCATCAGGGGAAAAATTGTGGCTTAATATTACTCACCAGTCTCTAGGAACTAAACTCTACTGAATTTTGTTGAAGTTTCTCAAGGATTTCTTCTCCGTTTTCCTCTTAGCCTTAGTAACTGTCTCTTCCACTGTGGTGGCAGGTTCTAAACCCTTCACCTTTGGGTTTTTTTTTGGAACTTATTAATAACAAAAAAAGCAACCAAGACAACATCAACTATTACCAACCTGTGTGCCCACTTTACCACCTATATAAAATTTTACTGAAAACGTTCTGTGCATGCATCAAGAATATTAAAAATTGGTTTCATCAAGAAGGCAACAGAGAAGCACATGCTGGTTGTGAACAGAGTGCGACATATAAGAAGGAGTTACAAATAAGAATCAAAATAAAGAATTTCACTAAAAAATACATGATTAATAAAGAAGATGGCCTGGTTATGTGGTGAGAATAAGGGATAGTCAGTGGATGATAGCATCCTTTGTACTCCGCTCATATCTCTATATTGTCAGGAGAAATAGAAGAAAGCCCCCAGCCCTATGGTGAACTCGTGAGAGGTCATAGATAAAACTTGCAAACCGTGGACAAGCATAGATGGTCTTTGATTTGCTTCCCTGAAGGGAATGTACACATTGATGAGATCCCAGAACCATTTGCATATTTGTGATTAAAAACAGACATAATAATTATAATGTGCTTCCTTGTTTTTCTGTTCCATGGGTTGCCTGGAACTTAGTCCATCAGTAAACATCATAGTGTGATATCCTTCCTCCTGAAGCATGATATAGTGCTGTTCTCACAGAACTAACAATAGTAGGTTTGAGGTAATCAACAGTGTATCCAAAATGTTATTTTCAACACCAGCTGGGTAGCTGGCAAGCTTCTCAAAGTATCGTGCGTAGTTAGCATTTTCCCAAGTCCTAAGGAAAAAAAATGTCATATAAGGGAATGGACTTTTTTCCCCCAGGCTATCCATCCTAATTTTGGATTGGCCTAGTTGGATATTCTAGATGAAGTTTATTAGTCGAGGTTGCCATCTCAGGCTCATTTCAAGCTATTCAGGAAAATTTCTGATTGATGTCAGGATTTGGCATTCTGGCGTAATTGTTCTGCTTAACCACTAACTCTCACGTCACACCAAAAGGCGATAAATACATAATCCCAAAGATAAAGAAACATCCCTCAGAAGATCACAAGGACGCCATTTTCACCACATCTTTCCCCTCCATCCCTTTTCCTTTTTCTGCCCCTTTCTTTCTTCTTCCTCTTCTCCTCTGTTACCTTATATTTTATCTTCTTAATCCTCTTCCTTTTCCTTCTTCTCTATTTGTCTCTCTCTTCAATGTGATATAGTGGAAAGAACACTGAATGTAATGTGGAGTCAGAATACCAGGTTCAGATTTCAGTTTTGCTACTTAATACTATGATACTTTGGGCCTCGGTATCCTTATATATAAAATGAGGATATTTAAGATTCCTTACAGCTCTGTCACTCTGACTTCTCTCTTTTCTTCTCTCCTTTTTTCTTCTCTGTTTGCTGCTCATGCTATGTCTCCACTTCCCTTCCTTCTTCCTGCTTTTCTTCCCTCCTCAACATTATTCTTGTGGAACCAGCTGCTCCATATATCATTGTTTTGCCTAACATAATGGTATTTCTACCTAATGGCATGGTGAGCCTCTATCCTAATAAGATAGCTTATAAAGTAACATCATTTGTATTTAATAAAACTTCATATTGAATTTGAATTAACTAACTGACTCACCCCTTTTCCTTTAGGCGAAGTCCTAGGTTACGTCATGAAATTAGAAAACCACGGCATTCATCTGCGGATAACCTTGCAAGTGAAACAACATACCTTACAGAAACGGAAGATGTATTTTATACCTACAAGGTTTCTCCATCCTCAAAAGACAGCGATTCAGAATTTTCACAGAACCGAAGTCCACAGAGACAGTAAGAGAACTTGTGTTCATTCATTTACCTCTTAGTATACAATAATTTGCTAGACTTTCAGGCTAAAAGATGATAAGATTGGGAAATCCTTAAATGTCCTTAAAAAATTAATTTATAACTGAATACCAGTTATATGATGATCCCACGTATCAGGCACTGTCAAGGTACCACAACCTCTGAGTGATAGATTCCTGTGACCTCTCTCACAAAAACAACTAAAAGAGTAAGAGGAGGGGGAGTGAAGCTCAGAAAGGACTTTTTTGTTTTGTTTCAGTATTTTTTTAAATTATTTTTTCAAGCATTTATTTTTTTTCTCCCTCCTACTTATCCATACTCCAAATGAACACACACGCACACAAAGAAAGAAAGAAAAAGATAAAATCCTCCCAATTGATTTACAGTAAAGCAAAGCAGTCCTGTATTGGCCCTGTCCACAAAAGTATGTCTCATTCTCCACCTTGAGTGCCTGATCTCTTTGACAGGAGGTAGGCAGCATGCTTCATTGGTTGTCTGGAATTGTTTGTTACTGCATTAACCAGAGTTCTTAAGTCTTTCAAAGTTATTTTGCCTTATATTGTTATCATTGTATAAATCATTCTGGTTACATTTGCTTCACTCTACGTTAATTTATATGTCTTCCCAATTTTCTCAGAAAGTTTCCATTCTGTCTTTTCACAAAATTATTCTGTTACGTTCATGTGCCATAATTTTTTTACCCATTCCCCAAAAGATACATATCCTCATAGTTCCTAGGGGTTTTTTTTGCTACTGCATAAAAAGAATAGCTATACAAGTTCCTTTTCCTCTTTCCTTGGTCTCTTTGGGGCATAGGCGTAGTATATTGGTGTTGTTGGATTGGAGGGTATACTCACTTTATTGACTTTTTGAACATAGTTCCGAATTGCTTTCCAGGAACATAGTTCCGAATTGCTTTCCAGCTAAATGGACCAATTCAAACCTCCATCATCATTAGTACGTCTTGTTTTCCCACAACTCTTCCAACAGTTGTCATTTTCATTTTTTGTCAACTTTCCCTCTCTGACAGTTTTGAGGTGGGACCTCAGAATTGCTTTAATTTGCATTTATTTGTTTTGGGACATTTTTTCATATAATTGTTGATAGCTTGGATTTCTTTTGAAAACCACCTTTTATCCTTTTACCATTTATCAGAAAATGTTTTCAATGACGTATCTGTCTCTGATCTTAAGACACAGGTTCACCATTGTCTTCTTCTACTGATGTAATCAGGTGTGTAAAGACCTCCACAGCTTGTGTCCAACCTAATCCCCAGTAGTCTTCCCAGGAATCCATGGGAGACAAAGTAACACAGACACGCAAAAGCTAACTCTGGAACCAAAACTCCCTTGGCAACCTTGTTTTACACTGCAAAGGTCTTCTCTGAATCTCCTCCTCTTTCTTTGATAGAGCAGCCAGCTCTGCAGTATGGGGCTAGTTTAGAAATAGCTCAGTTTAGAAATAGCTACTTTAAAAGCTAGCTCAGCTTTTATGCGGTGGTGACGGGAAGCCTCAAAGAGATGGGTTCCTTTATCAATGTTAGTGGTAATAGCTGCTGCTTCCTTCCCATTCCACAAATCAATTGCCTACCCTTCCTGATAGTTTTAACAGGTACAACAGGGTAATGCAGATTGTAATGACCTATTTCTTTTCTTCTAAAACAAAAAACAGTAAGCAATTAAGCAAATTCTTTTAGCCTGCAAATTTTTTTTAAGGCTTCAGCTCTTCTAGATGTTAAGCATAAAATACTAAACCAGTAGAATGTAATTTCCTTGAGGAATGCCTGTTTTGATTTTATGTCTCTAGTGTCTGCTTTGAGTACCTGGAAAATGACAGATCCTTAAATGAATGCTTGTTGAATTTATATTACTAGTTCTTCAGGGTCATGCACATTCATTTAGCTACCTTATTTCTTATGAGCTACAAATCTTGCCTTAAGTTTCTTATGATCTATAAATCTTGCCTTTTGTGTATATCAGTCACCAAAAAATGTAGATTTCAGTTTCCTTGTGATATTTGTTCTGTTTAAATAATGCCTTTGGTAGTTTCTGGTGACATCACTTTCTTTTACTTTAAATAACCCTTTTGTTAAAATAATGATCATTTATTATTCTTAACTATACCCTGTAGTCTCTTGGTATCTAGAAAGAATTAAAAGTTTAGTTTACCTCTTTTTTTGTTTTATTTTTGAAGTTTTATCAGTATGTTTTGCTTTTACATTACAAGTATTTACAGATGACTCCTTTGTGGAAAGTTTCTTATTAAAAAAAATAGTTTAGAAAAGCTAATAATACTGTGATCTCATCCAAAGATACTTACAGCATTTTACATTTGTAGCACCCCCACCTTTATTTAGAAAAAAAAAATCTATTCTCTCCTTCCCACCTCCATCGCCTCTCTAATGAGGAACATATTTATCTCCTTTGAAGCAAACATCAAGCAAGGGAAGCACATGTAGAGAGAAGATATGGCTAGACTTTGGGTTTTTTTGTTTTGCATCAATCTAAATTAGTGACAACAATAACTAACATTCATACAGCTATTTAAAATTTGCTGAGCAAATTGTCTTTTTTTGGTTTGTTTAGATAAATTGTCTCATTTGAGGCTCACAATAACCCTGGGATGAAGGTCCTATAAAAATTGTTAGCACCATTTTAATAGATAAAGCCAAGGCTCAGAGAGGTAAATTACTTATCTGGGCAGCAAATAGCAGAGATAGGATTTGAATCTATATCTTCCTGACTTCAAGTTCAGTAATTTTTCCATTATACCACACGGATGCCACTGATTTCCATTATGCCCCACAGGAGATGGAGGCAGAGTTATAAAACAAAGGGATATGTGAATTTGAGAAACTAAGCAGCTTCTCTCTAATCCAGATCTTCATGATGTGGCTTATATTCCCAGAATCAATAAATGTTAGAGCTGAGTGATATCTTAGGGATCATCTAACCCAAACCTATCATTTTGATGTATTACTTTGTTTGGAACATTGGGAATTTTCAGAGTGTTGGACATATTTTATATTCAAATAGAAGTTTAAAATAATATTCACCAAAACTAAGCCAAATTCAGTGATTTGTTTTTTATTATCAACTTTTTGGATTACTTGAGTCACTACTTACTTCCATTAGCACCAGTCAGTCAGTGATATTTAAGTGCCTACTGCATGCCAAACGCTAAGCTAGGAGCTGGAGGTAGAAATATAACAGATGAAACAAGGAGCTTATCTTCTGATGGGGACATAACAAGTATACATATAAATAAATACAGAGTAAATATAAATAAAATAGATACAAATACATACAAGGTCATGTGAGAGGGAGAGCACTCACATGATTATTAAGCATTGATTATATAATATTCTTCCTCCAGTTTTCTGACTTTTTTTTTAAACCAGCCCTACTAATTTCATCTGTCTCCCTGGTGCTGGTAAGACCTTCTCTCCAAAGAGGAAACTCCTTCTGTTGAAGAGAGGAAAGCAAAGGAGAGAAGAAGAGAAGAATGCTGCCGAAGGAGTAGAGTTTGGACAGGCCTTGATCAAAACTTAGTATAAGAGTAAATAGCATACCACTACTTTAGATGAAGGCATCAGCTAAGCCTTAAGCTGTGCCTGCTGAATAATAAAGTTGCTGTTGTAGAACAAGCCCAACTGAGCATAGGAATAGCATAGAAATGGAGTATCAGAGAAACAGTCCAACAGATTAGCTCATCCAGCTGAGCTTATGCCAGGTGAGGTGTCAGTCCAGCAGTGTGGCTCAGCTCAGCTTAACAGTGGAAGCATCTGATCAACACAGAAGCCATGCCCATCGGTTTATAGTACCAGAGTTATGAGTTACTTTGGCCACATGTATTTCCTTCATACCTTAATGTCCTGGGACTTTAAATGTGTGCTTATTTTCCCCATGGACACTGAGTGCATGGGTGGGAATGTGTAGTTGAGGTTTATGGGTGGGATCATATGTAAATATTATATGTTTGTTTTACATTTTCAGAAATGTTTTGATTAAAGTTAAGTGTTAGCAACTGATGTGTTCATGGGAAATACTCCATTTGGGGGTTTACGAACTAGAGTACAGCTAGTCCCTTACAAGACTTGCTCCTAGAGCTCTGAGAATAGTGAGCTATAGCAGCTGCCCTCCCTCTGGGAAAATCCTAACCTGTCAGTCATCCAGGTGAGCTTTATTTTTTCTTCTGGTGAAATTAAAGGTTAGCACTCAGAATAGTAAAATAATCCAAATTGTAGAGAGTTAAAGTGAAACCTAGGATTAGAAAAGCAATATTTCATATAGATGGTTTAAAAATATTACTACTAGAAATAATGCAATCTTAGAGTTGGAAGGGACCTTACAGATGACGTGGTCAAACCTTCCACCTAATACAGCAGTCTTTCTAAAATATCTCCAACCAGACACTAATAGACTGTTAGTATTTGGATCTGTGCCCAAAGGGCTATAAAGTTTTGTGTTCCTTTGACCCAGCAATACCACTGTTAGGTCTATATTCCAAAAATTTTTAAAAAATGGGAAAAAGACCTCTTTGTACAAAAATATTTATAACAGCTCTTTTTGTGGTGGCAAAGAGTTTGAAATTGAAGGGATGCCCATAAATTAGGGAATAGCTGCACAAGTTATGGTACATGATTGTGATGGAATATTATTGTGCTATAAGAAATAATGAGCATAGGGACAGCTAGATGGCACAGTGGATAGAGCACCAGCCCTGGAGTCAGGAGGACCTGAGTTTAAATACGGCCTCAGACCAAACACTTGACAACTTACTAGCTCTGTGACCCTGGGCAAGTCACTTAACCCCAATTGCCTAAAAAAAAAAAAAGAAAAGAAATAATGAGCAGGATGATTTCAGAAAAAACCTGTAAAGACTCACACGAACTGATACAAAGTGAAGTGAGCAGAAACAGGACAACATTGTACACAGTAACAGCAATACTGTATGGTGATCAACAGTAAATGGCTTAGCTCTGC